CTATTGTTGTGGTGTGCCATTGCCGGTCTGGGTGTAGGACTGTTGCGTGGCCTTCTTGGTGTAGGATGCTGTTGCTGGTAGTTGTCGGAATGGGTTGGACCCGAGTCTTCCACCCGCCCGTACTCATAGCCCCCTCCTCCTCCCTCGCCTCCGCCGTGGATGATACCGAGCCGGGGCGAATCTACTAGGGGGGCTTTAACAGGCTTGAGCCCCCCTCCAGCACTGCAAGAATTTTTTTACTACTAGTTTCATGGCCCAAGTCAGCCACTTGCAGGCCCAACCCAACAGATATTGGCATGATACACGCTTTGAGCCCACCCTCCAGTTTCTGTCTAGATTCGCCACTAATATCGAGCATATCCCTATCCGCGTCGTACGCTGGCTCCCCCGCTCTCGGCATTGCAGCAAGCAGCGTGCGGGCACCCATCTGCTCTTCACTCGCCGTCCTTGACCGGACGATCGGCTGCGAAGATACTCGGAGAAGAGCAATGCCGCGTTAATGTCGGTGATGTCAGGAACCGTACCGGCGGGGTTTGAGAGCTGCTTGGCAGCGTAGTAGTACGGAGCTTGTAAGGCTCCGGCCACGGCGCCATCTTTACTATGGGCGTGCCCGTTTGGTGGCGTCCACCATGGCCTCGCCGACCGCCCCATCGGCGTGCCCACCAGGCCCACCGGCGGCCAGACACTTCTTCGGCTTCTCCTCCTTTGCAACCTTCGCTTTGACACGGCGATTTTGCCGTGTCTCCGATCTGATCTTCCGGGAGAGCGTGATGCTCGGATCCTCCGACACCTCTGCCGGCTCCATCTCTGATAGGTTCTCCGACGGTTGCATGCATCAGCTGCGGAGGGAAAGAGAGGGTGGGAGACAAGAGCGGGAATTGGGCGAAGAGTGGCGGGGGATAATACGGTATAGGGCTCTCCTTCCTCTCGCTCCCGCGACGCGCCCCGCGCGCGCGTCTCGGGAGAAACTCTAGCGCCGCCGGCGGGCTTCCCCTCCTCCTCCCTCCTCTCCCTCGCCGCCGCCAGAGAGGGCGCGCCAGGCGAAGCCTGGTAGGTGCCGGCGGCGGCGGGGCTGCCTTGTCTCCTCGGCGGGGGCCTTCGGCGCGGGTTAAGGCGGCCGCCTGGGATGCGGCGCTGGCGGCGGGCGTGGCAGCGCGGCGGCGAGCTGGAGCCTGCTGGCGGCAGCTTCGTGGCGGCGGCGTGACCGGCGCGGCGGTGGTGGGCGTGCCTTGGTCGCCAGATCTGGGTCCTTCGGCGCGGGTCAAGGCCGGATCTGGGACCTGGCGGCGCGGGCTGCTAGTCTCTGCCCCTGCCATGGCCACGGTGGGTGGTGGTGCGACGCGGCAGCGGTTGGCTGGTGGGCGGGCTGGCCGGGATCCGAAGCTTCGGCGGCTGGACGACAGTGGGCCGCACAGATGGGCTCCTCGGTGAGCTTCCTTCGCGATTGGTGGCGGCCCTTGGGATCTCTCCTTGCCGGCGGGCGGGTGTATGTTGGTGGCCTCACGTGGAGCTGCGGTCGCCGCCGAGGTGGGGCGACACCGAGTTGTCCGATGGGGAGGCAGGCTGGAGGGACGGGAGGCGCCGCCGAGCCCGGGCCACCCGTCGCTGGCACAGGGGTGTGCCGGCCCAGATGCGTCCGCTCGCCCTCCTCCCCCGTTCCCCGGCCATGTGTGGGCTGACGCAACTCCGGCGTTGTTCGAGGCGGGGTGTATGCCGCGGTTTCTTCGGTCGGGTGCGCCCTTTGGCCCAAGATGATCACTTTGGTCAGTCTTGGGGGTGTCTGGATGCAGGGTGGCGGCCCCGGTGGCGGGAGGCACGAAGTTCGTGGGCGGGACTTGCGCCTCGGGTGCGGGCGAGCGGCCACGGCCACGCGGGTGGGTGGTCGCTGGTGGTCGACGGAGCTAGGTTGCTTCGGAGGGGTGGGCGTGCTGGGGTTCATTACCTGCCCAATCTTGTATTGGCCGACGGTGGCGGCGTCTGTGGACACTGTATCCTTCTTGTAGGCTCCGTCGAAGTGGCCTTTCTCCTTCGAGTTGCTCCGGGTGAAAACCCGATCTTTGGGACCAGATGGTGGCGGCTATCGTGGTCGTTCCCTTCTTGGAGGCACCATCTTGGAGTCCTGGTTCCGTCGTTCCCGTCTCACCTCCCCTCGGAGGAGGAGGTCTATGGTGGCTCCAAGCAGTTCGTCCTCGCGCATTTGTAGTGGCTTGGTAGTTGTTGGATGGTGTGGCGGTGTCCGGCACCCTTGTATCTTGCCTTGGGTGTGTGTGTCGTGTGCGGTGGTGGCGTGAGTTTGTATCATGGTCCTTGTGGTTTGGTGCTTTATATATAAAGCGGGGCGAAAGCCTTTTTCGGTAAGAGTGGCGGGGAGTGAAAGAAAAGATTGGGGGATTTTGGTGCGAAAACCGTGCGGGATGCTACAAAAGCGCGGACTTGGCCTTCCTTTGGGTGGGCCGGCCAAGGGGCGGAGAACGACATTTCGCGTGTCCAGACTCCCGTAAACCCTTCACAGGTTTGTCTCCGATTTGCGGGAGAAATCATGTTCGGACCACTCTACGGACCGATACATAACCGCGTTTGGATGGCTTCTGCGGTCCGAATGATTGCGGGAGGTTTACGGATCGGTGTTGGACATACCCTACTGACTGACCAGTAAAGTCAGCCGTGCTCTTGTCGCCGTTCGCAGTAACAAACACAAAACCCCCAAATACATTAAACTCTCTTCTACCGGGAGGTCCGGGAACCTGCAATTGATGGCTGCATGTGCACTAGCTTCCCCGGGAGGAGAAATGAAAATATCTGGGAGACACGTAGGTGAAGGCCATGGCAGCCATTGATGAGCGCACGAGCAGGCACGGCAGGCGGTCGCTAGGCAGCAGCCATGGTGGATTCGGTGCCGTCAGGCGTCAGCTTCCCCTTCGACCGACTGGCCCGCCCGAACCACGTCCAGATCGGCCATTACTCTGCCTCTGATGGTGCCTCGTGGCTGGTCATTTTCACGGCTGGCCTACTGCCGATTTCATCCGTTGTAGCAGAGTACCTCTGCATCAATCTCACCACTGCTGATGTTTTTCTTTTTCTTTTTGCGAGGTCAGTACTGATGCTTCTGACTAAGTATATATTTTTCTTACAAAAAGAGCTCATGGCCCCAAACTTTATTTCTGACATTAAAACATCTTCGGCCTCTGCATCTAGTGATGCACATAATCATATTCCCTCCGTTCCTAAATATTTGTCTTTTTAGAGTTTCAAATGGACTAGCACATACGGATGTATATAGACATGTTTTAGAGGGTACATTCATTCATTTTGCTTCGTATGTAGTCACTTATTGAAATTTCTAGAAAGACAAATATTTAAGAACGGAGGGAGTATATTACTACCTATTGATAACATCAAACAAGTCGACTTAAAAAGAAGAAGAGAAATCGAGGCCATCCACATGGGACATACTGCCTCGCGGCAGCATCCCCAAATCGTAGCCCCAAACCTACGGCGACATATTAGCAGACAAATGGCGCAACGATCCACGAAAGCACCTCGAAGAAGAAGGAACCGCCGCTCAAGTCTCCGATGTTGTCCAGTCCAATCACGCTGATATTTGAACCAGCACCTCCAACAGGGTGATGACGCGCGTACGTCCATGTTGACTGATCAAGCCAGAAGGCAAGTTTTCTGAAATTGATAGGACGACTTTACATACATGTACATTGTTATTCTTTACAAAGATGTTGACTTCCCCTTGTACCTGTTCTCCCAGGTTGAACTTTGGTATACATTGCGAAGAACCACTTGAATTTTTCACTACAATCTAAGCCGGAGATGTAAAGCTTCAGCTGCTCAAGTTATGATGCTCATGAGCTCATCCGAACTCATTACATGCGCCGTCGTTTAATGGCCATCATATGCATTTGAAGCTGTTGATTTGACCCTCATACTATGGACATTGTTTCTCAAGGTAAGCTACTGTTCTGAGTTCAAATGAAGAACTTAGGTATCCATTGCGCGGTCGCTAACTGGTTCAAGTTGTTACTACTCACTAGAGAGCTGGGGTTCCAAAATTTCAAGATACGACGCTCTTCGCCGATTTTGCCCTACAAATCGATCTTCAAGTAGATCAAAATTTCACGAAGCCCATGCACGCAAGATATTGTACAATAGCAGTGTGATATATATAACATTACATGATGATATGAGGAGTTCATCAGTCCGGAGAACAACAACGAAGCGCAAGCCGGTCCAGTGCTTTTTTTTCCCCGGTGGTCGTACGTACTACTATATTACATCCACCAGGAGAAGAGAGAGATCAAAAATCAAAATGCAAAGGCAAAAAAAAGAAGAGCTCTATAAATTTAGGGTTCGTTCTATAGATATGTCAGCCTCCTAACAGCAGCAACAGCAACACAGGCATAGCGCGCGCACACACAGCATGCAAAGCAGCAAGCAGAGCAAGACCTCCTTCCTAATAGCAGCAGACAGAATTTCAGAAGTTCCTCATCGGTCGTCGTCGTCGGTCGTGGATGATGATGATGATGGTGATGATGATCTAGAGCTTCCTCCTGCAGAGTGGGCATGATCCGTGCTTGATCAGCCAGCCGTCGATGCACGGCACGTGGAACACGTGCAGGCAATCGGGCAGGCTCCGCACCTTCTCACCAATCTGGAAATCCTGAAAACCAACACCAACATGAATAGAAAGTTGAGATCAAAAATTTCCATCACTGAGAAATAACAACCGGCACTGAAGAAACAATGAGCTCGAGAGTGTAAGAGTATGAATAGAATGTTCATGTTGCAGAAAGAGCTGGGCGGTTTATGTTTTAAGGTATGTGAGGATTTCTGAATTCAGACAGACCAAAAAGATCAAAAGAAAATTATATGACAGCTGAATGAGCAACACGGCAGAAATTCAGAATGTTTACAAACAGACGGACCAGACAGACCAAAAGAAATTCAGGCTATAAATGAGCGTGAAGAAATCAAATAAATGACTACTGATGAATGAGCGGAAATTCAGAATGTTCACTTCACATAGTGCAATGATATGGTGAACAAGTAAGCAGAGTTTGTGCTAATAGGGGATAGTGGGTTTCAGAGATGATGTGTGGCTTTCATACCTGCAGGCATACTGAGCACCCGTAGAGGTCACCGACGGCATTCCGGTTATACTCCTTGGTGATAGTGCCCTCGGGCAGTTTCTCGATGGACGCCCTCGGCATGCCGTTGGTTCCCTCGATCTCGAAGAGGTCAGGGGCCTCCCTGAACTGCGATGAGTCCACTGCATTCATCTGTACGTCCAGAAAAACAAGCATGGCATTGTCAACAATATTTAGCAACTGGTTTCAGACAGCTGCTTAGGCTCAAACCATGCATATGCCTGATGCAGAATTGCAAATGATCAACCGACCTGGCTGCGGACCACCCGCTGCACTGCCGGATCAACCTTCTCACGGACGAGCCGGCCCGTCAGGAGGCTGTAGATCACATTAAGCTGCATTGCCCAGTAGTTGAAAGGTTTGTGTTAGGCTCAATCAGACCACAAAGTTTCAGCCAAGTCAGAAGATACGTTCATTATTCAGGTATCTATCTCAAACGAATCGTGTACAACTACAACATGATGATTATGAGGACGACAAGGATAGATAAGCAAGAATGCACCCCCCCAAGTTACTTGCAAATTATAATCTAGTAACATTATTTCAGAAAAAAAAGGAAGAAAGAGATGGTTTGACTATGGGATGAACATTCAACAGAAACATTTTTTTAATGTTGAGAGCAAGAATTAGTCCATGTAAATCAAGCAACACACACTGATAGTATGATATATTAACAAAGGAAGTGCAGGCAAGCAAGCAAGCGTGTCAGTTACGAAGTTGCTGTCCTGCTCCTAGCTACTTGCTGCCAACCAAGGACTGAATCAAGCATCTCATATCTGGTGCTTACCACGTACAGGATGCTCCAGATCCCGGACCGGCGGGAGCGCCAGAGGCGGATGGAGGAGTCGACGACCTCGATGGACACGAGCGCGCCGGTGATGGCGCCGATGCCGGTGCCGCGGAAGAGGCCGCTCTCCGTGGCCAGGCCGATCAGCCCGCCCGTGACGGCTCCCAGGAACAGGCCGGCTGCACAAGAACAGAGATGCACATATGTCAAATGTTCAGAACATGAGTATGTAGTAGTCTCTACAGAATTTCTCAAAAGCAGAGTGTGTGTGCATAAGAATAAGATTGCACGATACGTGAAGCAGATCAACCCAAATTGCACAAAGACCACGCGCTTAATTCAGGGGAAAACACACTGCACAAGGCCTGAATGAATCGCTCAAAATTTTGCTATTTTGCAACTCAAGAATCTGTTACTCCTTAAATAGATTGCGAGCAAAGATTTGAGAAATGAAGCAGAAACAGAAACTGTGAGCCAAGATTGGGAGAGCGCCGCTCGGATCCTGCTCTCCGTACACACATGAGCAGGAACCCCCATGGCTAAATCATCAAAATATCCCCTTTGTTTTGCTCAGAAGCGAACTGAAGCATGAAGGTAGGGTGCACTTGACAGTAAAATTTCCTCTCTACATGAAGATATCTGAAGAAATCACGACTGGCTTGGAGCCGGCGTAGGCGAAACAGAGGAGGGGAGGGGGAGAGCGTCCGTACCGATGGCGAAGATGAAGGTGATGACGCCGCGGAGCACCCGGCGCACCATCCTCCGGCTCCCGCCCCTCCCGCGGCTGCTCCCGCTACTCCCGCTGCTCCCGCCGCTCCCGCTCCTCACCAGCGACGCCAGCGACACATTGCTGGAGCTCCGCGCGAACGCGCCCGACGGATCCATCCCCCGCCCGCTCCCCCACTCCCCACTCCCCACTCCTCCTTCAACCCCTTAGATCACCCACCCACACGCACAGAGAAGAAACAGAGAACAACAGCAGCCGGCGGAGCTGGATCGGGTCTGGCGAGGGATCCGAGGAGGGGAGCCAACCGACGAGGAGAGGACGAGGCAGGAAGAGAGAGAGGGGTGGAGGGACGGAAGCAAAGAAGAGGGGAGGGGGACGGGAAAGGGGGCGACTTTATGGCGCCAACCAACCCGTGACCGGCGCATTGAATTCGCGTGCGGAGGCGGTAGGTTCGGCTTGCCTCCGGCGCCCGCCTTGCCTCGCTCTCTTTCTTTTCTTCGTGGCGAAGGCGAGGCTCTGCTGACGGCACCCATCCACCGTGGTCATGGCGGCCGCCTGCCCGCCACCTGCCCTGCGCGTGCGGCCATCAATGGCTGCCGCGCGGGAGCCATGCCGCCCGCCTACGTGCCACCCCGGCCAAGATATTTTCGTCCCCCTTCCCCTCCCGGGTAAGCAGCTGCACATGCCGCCATCACTCGGGGCTGAGCTCCGGATTAATGTCTTTGGGAGTCTTGTTTGTTGTTGCGATGGATTTGCGAACGGGGAGAAGGTCGCGGTGACGTCTCCGTTTTTATTGGTTGGTTAGGTTTGGTGAAGGGGGAGTTCTCTATTGTGAGTGTTCTCCTCTTGGTCTTAGAGAGCGAACGGTCGGCCGTCATGGGGTCTACCCGAGAGGAGGAAGGAGGAGGAGGAAGGGAAATAATGGGTCTTGGACGGGGACTTCGACGGTCGCCGTAAGGGGGTTTTGTGAGGCGTGATTTGGCGGAAGTCGACGATGACCGTAATTGTGCAAGGCTCACTGGCACCGGACTGGGGACACGGGGGTGTTGTCAGTCCTCACGCTTAGGATGCTTGAGTGTCAAGATTCAAATGATTCGGCCCGATTTGCCTTATTAGTGGACCACCGAACCTGCTAAAATATTTTAGGTTCAAGGTTTAGCCCGCACCTTCTGTTGAAGGGTAATGGGCCACCTTTAGGTTCGCGGGTTCGTCCCTAGGCAGGTATCAACACCAGCTTCATGAAGGATGCCTCCGGTGGCAGGGAAGACTTGGAGATCGACGGGGAAAGGAGAGGTGAGGGAGAATACGGAAGGGAACGTCAGGGGTCATTCTCCCCGGCTGCGAGTGCCTTCCACATGTTCCAGCGACTGACGGCTTGCCTTGCTCCAACGGTGGGGAATATCTGAAGACCATGCGGACAGGAGATGCGGTCGGTAGAGAAACCAGTAGAGGGCGGCATACCGGCATGCTCTACTCCGACGAGTTTGTTTCGGAGGCGCCCGGTGACGCGCCTGCATCTTGCACTATCACGCGGCGATGGTGGTTATGTGCTACGAACGTTGCTTGTTATAGTTCGACCTGGGTCAAATGGGTATGTCCTGATTGGTCCCTAGCTACAGGCTCCTCGATTACCCTAGTGGTCAGAAAACATAGGTATGTTCCACCAGGCCAATGGGTCGAACCGGACCACCTAAATCATGACTCGAGTGACGATGGTGCAACAAGATGTGTTCGAGGCAAGAGACAATGGAAGGATAGAACATAAAGATGCTCGTTGGATGAGATCATGTGGGCTTGGGAGCATGGCAGTCCGCACTCAGCATGATCAACATACTCAAATTTTTGTACGAGGCACACGGGATGCCCCATGGATGCGATGACTTGGGGCTCGAGTGCACCACTCACTTGTCTACCATTCACCTGGCTTGCTACGAGAAACATGTGTCATTGGACACCGGACAGTTGGCTCGGCATGGACTTCCGCACCATACCTCTTGCCCCTTCTCTGACCAACATGACGAAACGATCAATCATCTACTTGTTGGTTGCGTGCTACCATGAACGGTCTAGTGTGAGATTTCGGGGGCATGGGGACATGTCGATTGGGTCTCTTCACATGACGACACGCTAGGGGTTTGATTCACCACTAAATCACCACTGGGAAGTCGAATATGTGCATGTTTGACCAAGTTTTTAGGGGGAAAATACCAATATTGACAGTACCAAATTTGTATCACTAGATCACGAAAAGTATGTACATATTTTATTTATTTTCTATTGTTGATGTCGATATTTCATTCTATATTTTGGTCAAACACATAAGTTTGAGCACAAAAATCGATACACCTTTTACTTCCTCAGCCAGCCTTCTTTTCTGGTTGACTGGCAAAGCCCCCGAGACTAAGGGGGTGTTTGTTTCTAGGGACTTTTTTGTGTAGGGACTAGAAAAGTCCCTCTTAGAGATTTTTTTTACCAAACGGGAGGGACTTTTTAGGGACTAAACTAGGCATTTGGGACTAAATGAAGAAGACTCTCAAGGAGAGTCTTTTCTGAGACTTTTTCAACAATGCCCCTCCATGCATCCATTGGCCCGCCACCCCATGGTGTTGTTTGATTGTTATTTTTCTATATACTAAGGGCAACATGGTCATTTAATAACTTCTAGGAAGGGACTAGAGACTTTTTAGTCTCTGGAAACAAACAGGGAGGGACTTTTTAGGGACTAGGGACTTTTTAGTTGGGACTAGAAAAAGTCCTAGAACTTATGAACCAAACACGGCCTAAGAAGGATGCACTCCTGCTTGCAAAGAAAGAGATGTGCTTTTTAGAAGTTGGGCCCCCCTTTTCTATTAAACTAAAAAAATTGGGGGGAGGGGTGGGGTGGGGTGGGGAGTACATGCCATTCATTCGGAGATCTGTAAACAAAACATAGGATAGGAATGGCATTGTCTTCAACCAAGAGTCCCCATTGGCTACCGCTACCCTAAGATGTGCGGCACGAGTGTGGTGTGGACTGATGTCGTCTGGGTTTGATGTGCTGGTATGTTCGTGCTTTCCAAGCGACGTTAGCTAGGAGGGAGGTAGACAGACGAATAATAGCGTGAGTTGTAACCTGCTGGATGTTGTCACGGCTTTGGTGGCAATGTAGTACGTTGGATTTCTTGCCCTTTCCCCTTTCAATGTAAGATATGCAGGCTATGCATATTCCCCGTTGAAGAAGAAAAGGATGACAGTGCAAACAAAATGCGGAGGAGAAGTTCAGCTTGGGCTCCCCGACTGCGTTTTCGAAACATACAGAGTATGCATGGTTTGATGCCAAAATTTGGATTGCTAATGTGTGGGCTAAGACACAACATTGGCAGCCAATAGGTGGCCTACCAAACTGCTTTTCCAGTCTCTATGAAAGTTGTCAATTTTTGACAAAATTTGGCATGATCAAAAGTTTCCTTGCCTTAATGCAAAGGCAGAGCACCTGCCGTTTTCAGTAAAAAAATTATAGCAGTCTTTTCTGGTCTATTCATCAAATATCAACGTATTACAAAGAACCAGCAACCCCACACGCAGACACACATAAAAAAAAGAACTAGTCTACCGGCTCAGGCTAGGGCCAAAATGCTAAACGTACGAACAACCTACGTAAGTCTACGAAACATGCAAAACTAATCTAAACACCCCCTGTGGAGGATATAGCTACTGAGTATAAACCGGCCAGGAGGGTCCGGTTCACCCTTGACTATGTTAAAGCCCACGAAGATCCAGAAGATGACGCTTTACTAAAGAAGCATAGAAGCCCGAAGCCCAAAGGCGGATTAGGGCCCGTAGTGGTAAACCGCCATGACTATGTAAACTTGTAGTATAAGTTAGGAAAGGAGAGACCGAGCCAGACACTTTGTATGAGTCGGCCTCGGGACTCTGTAAACCGGCCGGGCGTCAACCTGTGTATATAAAGGGGCGACCCGGCGGCGGTTTAGGGACAACAGACAACAACTCGAGACTCAGGCAAGCGTATTCCGCTCCCTGATCATCGAAACCCAATCAATCCCATCACAAACTAGACGTAGGCTTTTACCTTCATCGAAGGGGCCGAACTAGTATAACTCCCGTGTCCCTTGTCCGGTTTAACCCCTTCAAGCTAACCCGTTGCGATGGCTCCACGACTAAGTCCCTTCACGAGGACATCTGACGGTATGCCCGAGGGACATTCCGATGGGAACAGTATTCCGGACCTCCCTGAAGCGCCGAGCCGGGTTGCTATTTACATGGCCGGCACGCAGCCTGTGTTACAGTCTTCATCGACCGCAGCAATGACTACCGGATCAGCGGCCGCGGCAGGTACCTCGGCGCACCGGCCGGCGCAGGTTCTCTCCGGTTTAATGGACGCTTGGGCGACCTTGTAAACCATGACAGTCACCCTGGATACGCAGGATCAGCACAATGCGGAGGTTGCGAGGCTGAAGGAGCAGATTACGCAGGCTAAGGCAGACCTGGTGGCTGAGGATAATATGATGGCTGAGGAACAGGCCGCTTTGAATGCTCAAGCACAGCAGATACAAGCACAGAATTACCGGCTCATGCTGGACCGGACCGCGTCAGAGGAGGTGTTACGAAGGAAGTATCGGTCGCGCCTGCCGCCGGCTTACGAAGGGTTAAATCTCTTTCAGACCCCAGGCGCTGGGCCGAGCAATCCGGAAGCCGCAGACCGAGCCGAAGCGCCGAGGATCGCCCTGGATCAGCCACGGGCAACGAAGCTACCCCGGCGGACAGTTAACCCGCCACAGTATGTGCCTACACCACCGGGTCACTTTTCGAGCCCCCTGGATAACATGATTGCTGCGGCTTCACGCTTGGCAGCCATTCCAATGGAAGGAGATTCAATAGAGGCAGTTGAGACACGGCGGGCGAGAGATCTTCTTCAAACCGCCGTAGTGCAGCAACAAGCTTATTCGTATAGCCGGGACAGGATCCATTCAACCCCCCGTCCGAGCCCAACTTATAGCAGGCGGATGGACGAACCAGAGGTGTCTAGCAGCGCGCGGCGTCGCAATGCTTAGGAGGTAGTGGACCATGGCAGGGTTCGAAGGGATGGCGCTTTGGACCGTTATCAACCCGCCCCGGTTCAGCCAACAGTGTCGGTTGACAGAGGCACCGGGCTTGCTTT